AGGGAAACGGATGGAGAAACGACACACACTGAGTTGTCATATCATGATAATGCGAGAATTGAAAGTGGCCACAGCTGGAAAAGACGAAATATCGTGGAACTGAGGAAATATTTCAAATATACTCAAAAATCCGCATGAAATTTATATATTTATCACGTTCTTCTACTATCCTACTGTCCAATTTAATCTCAAAATTCATTTGATGTTTAATTTATCTTGAATTGACCACTGGTTAGCAAATCCATTTTTTCCGCATCCTTATTCATTTTCTCTTTCTGCTCCTTTCATTCCTTTAGCAAGAATGAGAAAGGGGAATAATACTTAATGTTTCATAGTTAATTAGTCAGTGAAATGAAATGACAAAATGCTATGTGCTAAGTATTTTAGTTAATATTTCGTTCATAAATCTAATTAATAAACCTATTTAAGTGGACGTTAAGCAGTGTTCGCAACAAGAAAGTTAGCTATTATTGATTCTAAAGAGACGGAGGACATTTTGTTCCTTTCCATTTTTTTAAATTCATTTCATTTTTTACTAAAACATTGGCAAAATTTTTACATCACAACATGCATGGATGGTGGTTTTTTCGAAGAAGTGAAGAGAAATTTGTCTTTTGGGCACTCTTTATGTTGTCGTCAATCTTTTCGTTTCTTTATTATTTCTTTTTAAACAAAAGTTATTCTAAAAGTTTATTTTCCAACCAGAGAGAAGTTTAAAACAAGTCAAGCAATTCAAATATACACACAGATGTGAGAAATAAATTAATTAACTATTTGCCGTCCGTTGGTTGCAGTTCTGAAAATTTATTCGTATCATTAAACAAAATGAATTACTTCTTTTAAATGCTTTTTTTTTTCTCTCTCTCAAACAATCAATTACCTTTATTTCTTCCTATTTTGATTATATATTTTTACTGCTCGTTACTAAAGATAACGTTTGTACAAAGATGATGGTGCTAAATATGAAAAGCATATTTAAAAATAGAGTAAGAACTGAATTACAATAATAAAATTATCAGTCCTATCTTTTACTAAGAAAAGGACTTAATTGAAAATATGACATTTACATATAGAGAAATGAATGAACATGTTAGTTGTGATACTTAAAAAGATAACACAAAGGAAACTAATCATTTAAATTTAGGCAAATTGAATTGTAAGATTTTTCTATCTTGTCGAATAAGATATTTTAAGAGATTGTTATTATTATTTACACACACACACACACACACACACACACACACACA